AATGAAATGTTATTAATTGTATTTATGTAGTGTTGCTGAAAATATTAAAAAATTTAATTATGGTACGGAACCGAACCGACCCGAACCGAACCGAACGGAACCGAACCCGAACGGTTCCATAATTATATTTGGACCCGACGGGTCCATTTATTAAATACCCGAAAGTTTTGGGTCGGTTCGAGTCTCTTCAGAATCGAACTGAACCGACCCACGAACAGCCCTACTATTATTTGTCAGTTTAAAATACAATCAACTATTTCATTCAATCTTTTCCATCTATATCATTTTATGAAATTCCTTATTTAACATTTTCGTGTACAAGTAGCATAATTCAAATGCAAATACATATAAATATATATATATAACAATTAATTTTACTACATATTTTATAGGACCTACAACTTTTTAACCATACATTTCATTAACTTTTATCCAAAACTATTAAAATTGATTTTAATCCATATCATACAGGGGTTTAGTCTACATTTTGGTTAATAAAAAATAATTTCATTATTTATCGCTGCTTAAATCAATTGAAACCGACTTGATGTGGGATTAATAAGAAAAAAAAAAAAATTAAAGCAAGGCTTTTCCTCCCAAATGTCTCATTGCTTGTAGAAATAATTTTTATCTACTAAAAAAAATAGTAAAAAAAATTCGAAAATTTTAACATTTTATAAACACTTACCAAACATATACTAACAAAGTAAATATGTAGTAATTTTGGAGGAGATTCTTCATTGGATTTTGTTATTTGTATGTAAGGGATTACATAGAGGGTGTTTAATGGATATTATATTGAGAAAAGAATGTATTTTAAATAGTGATATGATGAGAAATATATGATTAAAAAGTAAGGAAAAATTATTGATGTAATGAAAAATATTATTCTATTGAAAAATGTGTAATTAAAAATGAGTTTTAAAAAAATGTACTTTGAAAGAATATGTGTCAAAAAAAGGTAATAATATGATGTGGAGGAAAAAAATGGTAAAAAAGTTGACCGTATATTAAATTGACAAATGATAGAGTATAACAATATCCTTTTCACTTGTAACCCATTATGCAATTTTTTATATACGTGTAACAAGATCATTTTCATTTGTTGTAAAAAAAATAAGAGTTTTGCTACTATAACACGGGAATTGACACCCCAATGTACAGCCCCATCACGCACAATAGAGGGGGGGAGGGGGGGTTTAACAAAAAGTTCAATGTAGCAAAATTGAAAAATGTTTAGGTAGTAACAGCTGACAAAGTCATATATTGTTACGACATTTATAGTTGACATTATGAAACTCCAATTATTTAAGAAAAAAACTAATTGTACAAAAAAATGTTGACAAAAAAGTTGACAAACCCTCACATGATTGCTGGCCCCACGTGAATAAAAAATTGAAAATAAAAAGTGGGCCCCCCACATTGTGAGGGTTTGTCAAATTTTTTGTCAACCTTTTTTTGTACAAGTAGCAAGGTTGATTATTTAATCTCTATAATTTACAAGTCTAATATTTTTTTTTGGAAAACCAATAACACAGAACAAATTCACTAGGTCTTAACCTCCTTCGGTAAATTTTTTATTTTTTCTTTTTTAATGGCGTTTGGTTAATAGATTTGTAAAGTAGATAAATAATATGGATAATTGCTGCAACGATACCAAACCTTTCATTTAATAGCACTTTGACCAAATTTTTCATTTGTACCACCCACGGTATCAAATATTTTAAAATGGTGCAGCTGAAATCCAAATGGATGGTTTCAATTAGTTTGACCTAACCAAATAATTAAACTTAACAATAATTTTGACTAATTTTAAAAGTTTAAAATGGTAACTTATATATTTTATAATAGAATAACTAAAATCAAATAATTAAAATTAAAAATTCATTTCCATCTTCTTCTCCATCCACCCTCACACACAGTGGCGGACCCAACAAGCGACCCCCCGCGGTCGCGCGTGCGGGATCCACCGAGAAGAGTTTTTTTTGTTGACAATGAAGAAATTTTTAAGATTATATATCTGGTATGTTCTTTTATTTTCATAAATTTCTTATAACTCAGTTGGCCTTACCTTGTATTTTCAAGTGAGAGGTCCCCGTTTTGAATCCCTCTCCCAACAATTTTATTGTCAAACATTTTTAATTCTACAATTTTTACTAAAATTAAATGGAATAAGGGAGAGAGTTCGAACCCATGACCTCTTCATGGGAAAATATACTCTTGACCATTGTGCACTCATGGAATTTGTAACTAAATTTTCCAAAATAATATATGTTACATTTTAATGGTTTTAATGCAATTGTAAAAATTCGATGCTCTTCCTTTGAATTATACTTGACTACAACATATTTGGTAAATAGTTTTAATTAATACAAAAAAATTATATATATTCAGTTTGCACAAAATAATTGTTATATTTAAATTTTAGACATTGTTTGATTTTTTTTTTTTTTTCAAAATACAT